GGTGGGTGAGTGGTGGGTGAGTGGTGGGTGTGTTGTTGTGACCTGCAGTGTGGTGGGTGAGTGGTGGGTGAGTGGTGGGTGAGTGGTGGGTGTGTTGTTGTGACCTGCAGTGTGGTGGGTGAGTGGTGGGTGAGTGGTGGGTGTGTTGTTGTGACCTGCAGTGTGGTGGGTGAGTGGTGGGTGAGTGGTGGGTGAGTGGTGGGTGTGTTGTTGTGACCTGCAGTGTGGTGGGTGAGTGGTGGGTGAGTGGTGGGTGAGTGGTGGGTGTGTTGTTGTGACCTGCAGTGTGGTGGGTGAGTGGTGGGTGAGTGGTGGGTGTGTTGTTGTGACCTGCAGTGTGGTGGGTGAGTGGGGGGTGAGTGGTGGGTGTGTTGTTGTGACCTGCAGGGTGGTTGGTGAGTGGGGGGTGAGTGGTGGGTGTGTTGTTGTGACCTGCAGTGTGGTGGGTGAGTGGTGGGTGAGTGGTGGGTGTGTTGTTGTGACCTGCAGTGTGGTGGGTGAGTGGTGGGTGAGTGGTGGGTGTGTTGTTGTGACCTGCAGGGTGGTTGGTGAGTGGGGGGTGAGTGGTGGGTGTGTTGTTGTGACCTGCAGTGTGGTGGGTGAGTGGTGGGTGAGTGGTGGGTGTGTTGTTGTGACCTGCAGTGTGGTGGGTGAGTGGTGGGTGAGTGGTGGGTGTGTTGTTGTGACCTGCAGTGTGGTGGGTGAGTGGTGGGTGAGTGGTGGGTGAGTGGTGGGTGTGTTGTTGTGACCTGCAGGGTGGTTGGTGAGTGGGGGGTGAGTGGTGGGTGTGTTGTTGTGACCTGCAGTGTGGTGGGTGAGTGGTGGGTGAGTGGTGGGTGTGTTGTTGTGACCTGCAGGGTGGTTGGTGAGTGGGGGGTGAGTGGTGGGTGTGTTATTGTGACCTGCAGTGTGGTGGGTGAGTGGTGGGTGAGTGGTGGGTGTGTTGTTGTGACCTGCAGTGTGGTGGGTGAGTGGTGGGTGTGTTGTTGTGACCTGCAGTGTGGTGGGTGAGTTGTGGGTGAGTGGTGGGTGTGTTGTTGTGATCTGCAGTGTGGTGGGTGAGTGGTGGGTGAGTGGTGGGTGTGTTGTTGTGACCTGCAGTGTGGTGGGTGAGTGGTGGGTGAGTGGTGGGTGTGTTGTTGTGATCTGCAGTGTGGTGGGTGAGTGGGGGGTGAGTGGTGGGTGTGTTGTTGTGACCTACAGTGTGGTGGGTGAGTGGTGGGTGAGTGGTGGGTGTGTTGTTGTGACCTGCAGTGTGGTGGGTGAGTGGTGGGTGAGTGGTGGGTGTGTTGTTGTGACCTGCAGTGTGGTGGGTGAGTGGTGGGTGAGTGGTGGGTGTGTTGTTGTGACCTGCAGTGTGGTGGGTGAGTGGTGGGTGAGTGGTGGGTGTGTTGTTGTGACCTGCAGTGTGGTGGGTGAGTGGTGGGTGAGTGGTGGGTGAGTGGTGGGTGTGTTGTTGTGACCTGCAGGGTGGTTGGTGAGTGGGGGGTGAGTGGTGGTTGTGTTGTTGTGACCTGCAGTGTGGTGGGTGAGTGGTGGGTGAGTGGTGGGTGTGTTGTTGTGACCTGCAGGGTGGTTGGTGAGTGGGGGGTGAGTGGTGGGTGTGTTATTGTGACCTGCAGTGTGGTGGGTGAGTGGTGGGTGAGTGGTGGGTGTGTTGTTGTGACCTGCAGTGTGGTGGGTGAGTGGTGGGTGTGTTGTTGTGACCTGCAGTGTGGTGGGTGAGTTGTGGGTGAGTGGTGGGTGTGTTGTTGTGATCTGCAGTGTGGTGGGTGAGTGGTGGGTGAGTGGTGGGTGTGTTGTTGTGACCTGCAGTCTGGTGGGTGAGTGGTGGGTGAGTGGTGGGTGTGTTGTTGTGATCTGCAGTGTGGTGGGTGAGTGGGGGGTGAGTGGTGGGTGTGTTGTTGTGACCTACAGTGTGGTGGGTGAGTGGTGGGTGAGTGGTGGGTGTGTTGTTGTGACCTGCAGTGTGGTGGGTGAGTGGTGGGTGTGTTGTTGTGACCTGCAGGGTGGTGGGTGAGTGGTGGGTGAGTGGTGGGTGTGTTGTTGTGACCTGCAGGGTGGTTGGTGAGTGGGGGGTGAGTGGTGGGTGTGTTGTTGTGACCTGCAGTGTGGTGGGTGAGTGGTGGGTGAGTGGTGGGTGTGTTGTTGTGACCTACAGTGTGGTTGGTGAGTGGGGGGTGAGTGGTGGGTGTGTTGTTGTGACCTGCAGTGTAGTGGGTGAGTGGTGGGTGAGTGGTGGGTGTGTTGTTGTGACCTGCAGTGTGGTGGGTGAGTGGGGGGTGAGTGGTGGGTGTGTTATTGTGACCTGCAGTGTGGTGGGTGAGTGGTGGGTGTGTTGTTGTGACCTGCAGTGTGGTGGGTGAGTGGTGGGTGAGTGGTGGGTGTGTTGTTGTGATCTGCAGTGTGGTGGGTGAGTGATGGGTGAGTGGTGGGTGTGTTGTTGTGACCTGCAGTGTGGTGGGTGAGTGGTGGGTGAGTGGTGGGTGTGTTGTTGTGATCTGCAGTGTGGTGGGTGAGTGGTGGGTGAGTGGTGGGTGTGTTGTTGTGATCTGCAGTGTGGTGGGTGAGTGGTGGGTGAGTGGTGGGTGTGTTGTTGTGATCTGCAGTGTGGTGGGTGAGTGATGGGTGAGTGGTTGGTGTGTTGTTGTGACCTGCAGGGTGGTTGGTGAGCGGTGGGCGAGTGGTGGGTGTGTTGTTGTGATCTGCAGTGTGGTGGGTGAGTGATGGGTGAGTGGTGGGTGTGTTGTTGTGACCTGCAGTGCGGTGGGTGAGTGGTGGGCGAGTGGTGGGTGTGTTGTTGTGACCTGCAGTGCGGTGGGTGAGTGGTGGGTGAGTGGTGGGGGTGTTGTTGAGACCTGCAGTGTGGTTAGAGAGTGGTGGATGAGTGGTGGGTGTGTTGTTGTGACCTCCAGTGTGGTGGGTGAGTGGTGGGTGAGTGGTTGGTGTGTTGTTGTGACCTGCAGTGTGGTGGGTGAGTGGTGGGTGTGTTGTTGTGACCTGCAGTGTGGTGGGCGAGTGGTGGGCGAGTGGTTGGTGTGTTGTTGTGACCTGCAGTGTGGTGGGTGAGTGGTGGGTGTGTTGTTGTGACCTGCAGTGTGGTGGGTGAGTGTTGGGTGTGTTGTTGAGACCTGCACTGTGGTGGGTGAGTGGTGGGTGAGTGGTGGGTGTGTTGTTGTGACCTCCAGTGTGGTGGGTGAGTGGTGGGTGTGTTGTTGTGACCTGCAGTGTGGTGGGTGAGTGTTGGGTGTGTTGTTGTGACCTGCAGTGTGGTGGGTGAGTGATGGGTGAGTGGTGAGTGAGTGGTGGGTGTGTTGTTTTGACTTACAGTGTGGTGGTTGAACACAGAGTGGATGAGATGAAACAGTCAATTTGATATACCGACACCTCGAATAATGATGATGTTGAGTTGAATGACTTGTATGGCACCATACTGGAGTGTGGTGGTTGCAGTATCTGCTAAACCCAGGACAAAAGCCTTATAAGCTCTGGCTTCAAACATGGCAGCACGTCTGGCTGCTTGGTCCGTGTGCGTGGAACGTGCTGCAAGCGATAATGTCTGTGCCTTCTAGGTTCAACTCAGTAATTGCCCTTTAACTTGGAACAACAAGACCCTCCATTGTTCCTAGTGGCATGCTTTTGGCTGCACTGGAAGACAGATGCAACGTACAGAAACTAATTTAGAATGTGCTTTGTTATTGGAACTGCCGTAAATATAAATTAAGAATAAAAGTTGCAGACAACTGACATATTTCAACGTTAGAAAACCCACGTGTGTTTGTCACTGGGGTGTATGTACTTGCTGTACTGTACACATGTTGGGACACAGCATTTCAGTTCGTACTGATCATTTCTTTATTGTGTCTAATAATTCTTCTTCTTTCATATGGCTGCTGATTTAGATGCAGAGCAAAAACTACAATTGAACCATTCAGGTGGTCAAGCCAGACAATCGCGTCAGGAGCAGCAGGAGTGTATCACCGCAATGTCTCCTTCGTATTTGTGGATCGGGGCATTGCTTCGTCATACGTTGTACGGTCCGTTCTGGATGTCCACGGTCGCACATTAACACTTACCAAGCTACGTTTTTACTGAGCTTAAATCGAGTCGAATTAATAGTTTTGTGTAAGTAGGTCAGTGGATGGGGGGCGTACCCCATGCCTCTTATACGACGAATGCTGCCAGTCGGCAGGGATTACCACCACCACGAGCGAGTGAATCCGTTGCTGTTGTGACGTTGCATCGCCACGAGGCGCTCCCTCCCACGTAGCCACGTGGAGCCGCTGGGTGTCGGGATATCTTTCCTTCCCCTCATTGGCCTCACGGACACATGTGAGTGGAGTGGCTGTCGCCCCCCCAACCCCGCCCAGAAGATCCTCCATCTTTGTTTCATTGTGTGTGCCCTCAGCAATTAGTACTTCTCCACACTGCCACAGGGAGCGGCGAGCACACCTCAACTTCATCTGGCTCGACGAAGGAAGATGCGGAGAGTGAGTCGCGGCCTTGGGCAACTCAAGCGATGATGGCTGGCGTGTCATCCAACATCACTCCACAGACGTTGTTGCTTGCCAAGGGCACAATGCCGAGGGCCCCTGACTTTCCTGCTCACCCAATGGTATCCATCGACCGAATAACGCACAAACTCATGGGATCCATAATCCATGGGAAGAACCATGCACCCACTGGCACTTGGGTGACAGATAGGAGGTTATTGTGCTGTACATGTGCACCTATGTCCAGTAGTGGGAATGTGACTACAGAAGCGCCGCTATGAGATCTATTTGTCCGGCAGCAGACCTTGACCACTGCCGTTTGCCCTCAGCTGAAACACCGCGGGGGTAGGAATAGGAACCGTTCTGGAAAGTGCCGGTAAGCCGCACGTTTTTGACGTTATGAGATGCGCTGGCATGGCAAGCTGTCGTATACCAAGCGCATGGCGACCACCGGCCGTGGTCGTGAGTGCGCGTGTCGCTCACGCAGTGAGGCCCTCGCGCCCTCACCTGTATTTGCTGCTGCAGCACGTTGATCTTCTGTTGCTGCTGCAGGAGCTGCTGTTGCTGGCGAGCGATCTGTAAGAGAGCAAAAACGCAACGTGCTCGTTAGCGTCGTCGTCGTGGAGGATGCAAGGGGCAAAACAAATAAGCGGACAATATGTCGCCTCTGTTCTGCCACATAAAAAAAATAAAAAAGTATTTTTTTTACACATTCCATTAGACCCTGCTGATGAGACACCAAATGTCAAAATGGGTCCAGAGTTTGCTTGTGTTGAAACCGAAGATTCAAAACTGTAATGATGATAACCCATGAACGAATGCTGCTGAATTTATGCAGTCCTAGAAGGCCGTTCGGCTTATGTGTAAGAAAACATCCTTGAGATAAATTTTCTAAAAAGTGATTGAGTGATCAGCTTGGCAGGAGCATATTTGGCCTCCGGGATGATACTGAACGCCGATGGAAGAGCGTGGGACAGCGTTGCTGAACGCTCGAGTTTGGGCCATGGAAGGCCCCTGCAGAATCCAACTTGGTTCTTCAGCGTTCAGACTTTGTGTGTCACCTACGGCCTATGCAAGAAGCCAATGATGACAAATTAGTGATTGAGCTTAAATTTGATCAGGAGCAGCTCTGAGGGGGGGTTTATTTGACAGTTACACTATCAAATGCACTCTCGTATGCACAAATGCACAATTTAGATGCTGCAAAATAGAATTAGCAGAGTAGCTTGCATTGCTTTCTGGCCCTTCCGGTCGTTGCTGTGTGACCTGAACATGCTTTTTCCCTTTCTATAGATGGCAGAAGAATGGCAGGTAATGGGTGAAAAATGCTGAATATCTCCTAAACCTGCACAGTGAACAACACAGCAAGGCCTTTAGGTGACTCATAATACGAGTAATCTGCAAACCAGCGTGGGCTTTACTAATGATGAGGGCAAACGGCAAGACCCAAAGAAAACCCCACATGCCAGTCTTCAACAAGGTAGAGCCTTTAAGCGCAATGCACTGAAATTCCTTGTAACAAGGTATAGGTCTTGAATGTAAAGTATAGCAAAGGCGTACTGCTATGAGGTGATCCGAGTGGAGCCAGGGATTGTCTTCACACAGTCAGGGATCTCTTAGCGGAGACTCTGGTTAAATAGATATATTCAAGTAAACCAGGCACATCACAAAGCCAACATACTGAGTCAACAATGTTTCCTAATCTGTGATTAGTCATCCTGATGTGCACCCCGCCTGTGGTTATATTTCTCAACGAAATACCTGAGTGCTCCTCACTGTCACTATGAACAATTGTGAACATCTCAAACAGAAAGCAAAATGGGGGAAAAAATATGTGTCAACAATCGTTTCCATTGTGCTGTTATTGCATCACGTTTGTTGTTATATGTTATGGCCATGAGGATGATCCTTGACATTCTTAGCGCTAAATGCACACATTTCAAACTCCTCAGGTCGGAGCGCTTCCTTTGAAGAGGAATGCACACAAGATGAAAAATGTAGGGCTGAGGATTCGAATACAAAACTATGAAACAAGTGGGGGGGGGGGGGGGGGGGGAGATAATTATTTATTAACCGGCGACATTACTACAGTAGACCCTGCCTCTTGTGGGTGTTTATTCCCATTTGGCATGTTTTAAAAATGAATCGGATTAATAAGAATAAAAGTAATAATTTAAAACGAGTCAAATAATAACGCCCGACGTGTTCAACGCGCGCGTCGCTCGCACGGCGTTACTTCAATTAGCCACGTGTTTACCCTCTCGCTAATTAAGCTCTCACTTCGCTTTTACGAGACTCGTTATTTAAATAGTGCTCAGCCTTCGCAACTGACGACACTCCCGGCATATTCTGCACGTCGCCAGCGTGCCGTCCTGCCGATGTTTTTCATCGTTTACAACTTCACTCCCTGCTCCCCCGCAATTGAGGTGGTGTTTAAGAAGTGGATTCGCCAACGTTTGGAGGGTCGAGACGTTTGGTTGGCTGCGCTCTCGGCGAACGTATTTTATACGCTTCACCATACGTCATCAAAAATCAGAGAAGGTTAGTGGGTTTTTTGCTTAGGGATACAGAATACTTGGTTGGTAAACTCATCACTTCCTCGATTTAATCCTGAAGATGTAGGGCGCACACTTGCAAGCCATACACCGCGCGTAGCTGTTTGCCAACATTGGTTATGAGAACCGTGCTTCAGCTTGGCGGTGAACTCCAACGATACAAATCGGTGCAGTTATTGCTTGTACACAGAATAAATAAATGTTTTTCTTGCTATGTCGGGTGGCGGATGGTCTTAAGACACAAATTCTGCCAGATAATTACATGGTCAAATTGAAAAGCAATTACGAAGGGTAATATTGTCTGTGAAACGCGACCTGTTTAATTATTTTTTTAAGAAAACATAGTAATATCGTCAGGCCAATGGACAAGCCCGCGTTGCAGTCGACAATAACTCGTTCTCATTCTCCATCGTTCGCGGTGCACCGTCGTTAGAGACGTCGTGAGCGTCGCCGGTGGGGTGGGCCCAGCCACGGGTTTGCTGGGAGACGCAGCGCATTGGCGGCGCTGGACTGGCGAGGGGCATGCACGGTGGTCAAAATGGGTTTAGCGTGCGGGGGTGTTTTTTTTTAAACAACACAATTGTTGTGCACAGGCCCAAAGGCCCAACACATGAAGTGGCCGGCGACAAACCAGCACCATAAATGTTGTCATGGATGAGAGCCGTGAAAACGTTTGTTACACCGGTACGTCCCGCAACACCAAACGTGTGAAGCGGCACATGGGCTTTCACGACAACTCTTACGATGCATAATTGATGTTTTGCTCAGATCACGTGAGTAAAATGTATGTCGTACACCCTCTTCCACAATTACGAAAGTTGTTAAGTGTGCCGCGTCCACGTTCACATATGTTAACGGCTCCAAATATTCAAGTGCTTTTTAAATTGGAGAAAAAAATGAACGTGGATAAATTGAGATTGTGTGAGTTTTGACGAGCTCCGTGAACACATCTGTTGTCACTCTGGATAGCCGTGACACTCGCGTGATAGCTTTCGCGCTGTACGTGGCGCCCCATGCCAAATACACTTCTGAGAAATCACAGGGCACACTTGTTCTATAACTATTTTACATAACAGACGAGCTATGATCATCAAATGAATGCAAAAGCAACTGCGATTAAAGTTGCAATAAATATATACGGATAAATTTTTAAGGGAAAATTATTCGTAACTTTAAATGTTTAACATGGTAAATCAACATCGTTTTATTTATAATTTAAAAATATATTCTATCTGTAAACACTGAAGTGCAACAAGGAATGAAATGAATCTACCGTAATAAATATCTAAAACTACAACTTTAATGTGTTTTCTTGTCTCTTTATTCCCCATGTGTCCAGGTAAACATGACCAGGAACATGGCATTTTCCCAGCAGTTACAATCCACGCACAACTCAATGTTAGTTTTAGCGGTTAGTGGGAAAAGTGATAAAGTATCCTTGGGAAGAATAATGTGACCCAGAGAGAGCATTCTTGTGGGCAGGGCTGGCGTGAGGGAGATGCAAATGGCCCTTTGGCCACCCAAGGCCACTCACTTTAGTGGTAAGTCAATTCCCTAGTGGCCCCCCACACAACGCTCTCATGCCCCCCCACCCCCCACCCCATTCGAGAGGAGTTGCAGCCAAGACTGCCCATGTGTAGATATTACTTCGAAGAAAATTCACCTCACGTGCTTCGGTGCGTTACTTCTAAACCGCAGCACGTGATGAACACGTATGGCCGAATCCATCGTCTGAAAGCCAAGGTGTCCACTGTGTGAAACTACGGCACCGCAATGCCGGGCCGTAATTAGCAGAGACGCGCAGAAAGCCCCAGAGGTCAGGGGCTCGCGTATCGAGAAAGAAAACATGAAGTGATCTTGTCTGGTGAGCACGTTTACTGACACAAGATTAGAAGGATTGGGAGGATCCGGGCTCAGGGCAAGGGAGCTGCATCTCCGATGCTCCTCGCAGCTCGTCCTCATTCTGCACGGCCACAGAGGTGAAACCCAAGAGGCTGACGCGTCCTACGAATCCTTCCCCGTGGATTCCAGCCGCAGATAATTCCAGGCTGTCCTGGTGCATTAGTTAAACTTCACAACAAGTGAATTTACCTTACTGGAAGAACAGTAAATTGCCAAGTGTTTCACTGCATGAATGGGATCCAGACTGATCAATTCCAAAGGGTTCAAGAATTTTCAAGTTATTTTTATGTTTAAGCAAATATATATTTACATGCCTTTCTCTAGATAATTTGTCACAGCACTGTAATGACTTGAACAGCTTAGCTGAATTATTTCTGTCCAGTACAAGCACTTTGGTATAAGCTGCATTTACTGCTGTGCATATATATGATAGTATACATGACAATTTGAAGCAAAAATTGTATTCTAATGACATGACAATTTGTGTCATTGAATTATTGCTCAAAAAGAAAACGGGTTTATTGTTGTCATCATCATTAGGGCACCACTCAAAACTCAAGTTTGTTATTTTGAAGGTAACAACCTCCTGGTTTCATTCCAGTGCCTGTTAAACTGAAGCGCTGTGAGTCTAGAGATAATGGCTCCGTAGTTACCGCTGGCTCAACGTCGGCGTTGAAAAATGTATTCCGGTCGATGCACACAGAAGTCAACGCGCAGGAGACACAGATGCAGAGAACAAGAGGAGGGGACGCTGAGCAAGCTGTGACTGTGATCAGAGTAGAGCGAGATTCTCAGCTGCTGACTTTTACACCAAGAAGAACACATTGAGATGTGGGTGTGATCACAGAAATCTGAGACGTCACTTTTGCACGTGCATATCGAGGTGGCATCCAAGACACCATCTTTTGTAAATCGGTGCCTCCCTGTGCCCCCATCGTAACCTGATGCACTTCCCTTCAGCGGCCTTCCGTCACTTGCCACGGAACATCTCAATTACAAGAGTGTCCAGGGTGTTGATTGACACACAGCACGCAGCACACACGTTCACAAAAAGACAATAGCCTCCAACCTGGTCATAATTAAATTACGTGAATGGCTCATTGATCTTCTTGGTTCTTT